GCTACGCTAGTTCAATCTACAGTTCATGGTGGATTTACAAGCAGATCACATCTTCGCGTTTTACTGAGACGGCGGCACCAGTCGAATAACCAACACGACGCCAACACTGCCAAGACAAGACGCGCGCGCGCTCTCTCTCTCTCTCGGCTCTCTCTGCGGTGTGTGTGTGTGTGTGTGTGTGTGTGTGTGTGTGTTGCGTGCGTGCGTGCGTGCGTGCGTGCGTGCGGGTGTGTTGGTGTTGTGTGGTGTGTGTGTCACTTTCTCTCTCTCCCTCACTGCCCTCTCTCCTGCTTTCTCTTCTCTCTCTCTCTCCTCTCTCTCTCTCTCTCTCTCTTTCTCTCTCTCTCTCACTCATCTCTGCCTGCCACGGTCTTCAACTCGTGAATAATACCAATAACACGAATGCTCGACTCATTCTCACCACATTCAGGAGCGTCTCACTTTTCCGCACGTATAAAAATTAGCAGGTGCTGCTGTCTATGCGCGATTTATATGTGGCCGTGTTTTGCAGGCGAGCGCAGATGTTTCCAGGCTGATGGAGTATTAACGGGATACAAGCTCCCGTAATTGATTCTCCTCGTCGAAAATACGAATACAAGTGGAAGTCTTCCGAAGCCTATAAGTAACGATGACCTAGACTGATGGGGATGTAGTTTGCGGTATGGGAATTGTGCGCGCCATAGAAGGCTCGACCCTGGTGATGCGATATAACACACGCATTGTGAATCGACTCTGTTGTGCAATATAGCACACACGTTGTGAATAGACTTAATGGTGTAAATATAGTACACGCATTGTGAATAGACTTGATAGTGTAAATATAGCACACGCATTGTAAATCGCTCGGAATATAAAATTGTACGCGAATTTTTAACGACGGCGAATTTATGTATTGATTTTCTTTTGTTCGGGAGCTTTTCATAATCAATTATGTATTCAAGTCACAGCTTGCTACTGTAACAGAAGATATAGCTCCTACATTATATATGCGACGTTCTATACGCCAACCAAAAACGGCAGTGTTTACGCGGCAGATGGACTGATGAAACGTTAATATCTAATCACATACGTGCCGAGCTTAATAAGCTATAATTCGGCTCAGGTGAATTTTTTCAATCATTTGTTTAAATATGCAGTTAAAATACAATTTAATCCGTTCTAAAGTAATGGCTTCTATTGTTTCCAACCGTTATCATATTTTTACGCTAGCTGTTTTGACACTTAGCGTGCTCCTTGCATAACCACAAGTGTATACAGTAAGATTTACTTAAAGCGGCGTTCAAGTCCCCGTAACCAAACTACGCTATTTCGCGCATGGCAGATCTGCGTTGGCCAGAAAGGCATTGCTTCTAAGACGTGTTTATGCCGGTGCAGAGCCATAACAAAACGTAAGTAGCCATAAACAGGATAATATACCAGTGCAACGATGAAACTTCAAATCAATCGTATTCAGAGCTTCATCAGCTAAGTATATATTGTTTACAAACGTCAATTTTGCCAAAATCTTTATTGTAACATTGCAAAGTGGCTCAGTGAGGGTCAGTGTTATGGCTCATTGCATGTGTATGAGTAATGCACAGTCGATAGGCCTACAGCACTGCATGTCAGAAAAAAACGTGTCAGCAGGTAATACAAGTTTTTGCCATGCGTACATCTCTTCATTCTATCGGTTCTACGATATATTGTAGTAACATTATTCATTATTGACTAAAATATTGGTAAAATGTCTGCATGTAAACTGCCGTCCAACATGCATAAAAAGTAAATGTACTCATATTTCTATTGTGAGTTTCAGTGTAATCATGGGACATAATTTACACGTCTATGCAGAGTCTATCCAATAGTCTACAATCTACCATGAGTCTATTCTATGTCTATTGATAGATCCTGACGTATCACAGAAAGGTTGAAATTACGCCATCTCAGACGATTTGCGCAGACAATTAACCTCACCAACACTGGTGTACATGCAGTGTATAGTCAACTGCGGGTTGCTGTATTGCTGCCGCTGCATGTGCATGGCAGCTGTATGCATACTTCTGTATAGTTTAGATCATTTCTAATAAGTATTTATATGCGTTGCCCTACAAATCAATACGTTACCACACTGAGAAAATTCAATTAATCATCATGCCAGGCGATATTAGTCACATAGACGCTCACCTATAATACTTAAACTTTCGAAAAATTTACAAGTCTCTTGCTACCAAGTATAATAGTCTTCAATTGCCACATATGTATAAAAACAACCGTAAAATTAAATCCAATATTGACACACCAACAGTTTTATGCCATACCTACATACTGACTAATTATGTTTGCAATTTTAAAGAACATGAGGCAACGATATCTATCATGTGACATGTATTATGCCAACCAATAATTCGTGCCTACATGTACGTTGTTCTCATTGACAGAACTTGGCCCAAAACATGCAGCGCACGTAGGGCCCTGCTATTCAAGTCGACTCATCAACTAGTGGATGTGAATGGAAATAATT